CGATATCCGGACATGTTCTCTTACGTTCGAAATGATTTCTACGATCACAACTATGATTTTTTTTTTGCTGAGATATCTCGGTCGATTTTTTTATTAATAACGCTAACGAATAATACTTAGGATCGTTTTCTTATTATATATGATACCGCGATAAGACAAGCACGAATAAGATTTAAAAATACTATAAGGAGAAAGAGTATAACATTCTTTGCAAGGCGAAATGATTACCTGTCGAAACTATCCCGTATAGATATTCATAGTCATCCCCTCCAAAGGCATCACTCGCCTTATGCTTCTTTTGTTTTTTCAAATTCGTCTGGCATGAACTCACGTGCGCGTGAAGATTCTTCACGCCGATCACTTTCGCCAAGAAAAATTCTCGATTATATGTATGTGGACATCAACAGTACTATGTAATAAAATTCAGAAATATCATTTGCAAAGAGTAAATGCGATTATATATGCAAAAATAAATTATAGGATAAAAATTCAAAGATACGAGAACAGGGATGCAACTAATTATTCAGAATCTACTGTTGTACTTTTTTCTAACCGTCTTAATGATCTAAGGGCGCATGTAACAACAAGGACATGTTAATGAGTATGATATTATGTAAAGCGAATAATATAAAAAAAGGTTAGATATTATATAAGAGCAAAGAGATTGTCAGATTCAGGAATTGTATATATGTCCAAATTTTAGTACGATAAATACATTTTAATATGCATGTAATTTTATTTTTTTTATCATCCCCTGAAATAGTTCTTGGAAATAGTAATTATTAAAATTTATTCAAAAAATGTCATATTACTTCACCACTATTTACTCAATCGCCCGTTTTTTTCTACACATTCTCAGCTTTCAGGCGTGAAAACAGAAGTTACAGTATCATCATCACTTATTTTTGTTTCTTCTAGTAACTGTCTTCGTTTTACCATGTCATTGACCATACTAATTATTTGAATACTTTTAATAATTAGACTATTTATAAAATTTAAATGTTCGCACAGATTTATAAAATTATCAGTCGATTTACGAAGATCGCACATTATAATCGGTAACTTGACCGTTAGATATGGTACCATTTTTCGAAACGGTCCACAGCTTCGGTCCATAATATAGACGTTCATTTTCGTATCTAGTTATAGAAATGATTAATGTAATATAATATACAACATGCAGTAAATATAAATGATAATTACCATAAAAATGGACTAAAATGATTTTTAAGTCATCTAATAGTTTAATCATTTGTTCGTTTTCCTGAAGTTTCTTTACAAAAAAATAAAAATGATTTAATGCATCATTTCCGAACTTTGCCAACCTAGTAAAATCCTCCCCGACGTGGTTTTCGTTATCTACTGAAAACGGACCATATGATATCTCAGCAAAAAAAAAATCATAGTTGTGATCGTAGAAATCATTTCGAACGTAAGAGAACATGTCCGGATATCG